AACGTAAAGAGACGTGACAAATCTAGTTGACTGCCCGCATCTGTGCTGAGTACGAACTGCCAAATGTTAATACAGTGTTTTCTGGTACGGACCGAGCCGATCCCTGGCCACGTTACATAACAAAGCTGTAAACAAGAAGTTCTGAAATGATTTGAAATATTTTTATGGAATAAGAGTGACAAAATAGCACACAGTGCATCTGATGGTAAGTGGATGCTGTGGGCCATAGACATCCACATTTATCCTCGATTAAGAATCACAATGCAATACGTTGTTACTCCTAAGAACTAAGATGGAATGTCTGATGAATCGTTTACTCACCATACGAAACACAGCAGCATTAAGCTGTTATTTCACGCTGGTATTCTGTGAGAGCGTGGTCCTACCCCAGTCGAGCCGAACCATTCATGCTACAACCATAAAACTGCATGGCTCTACCATGTGATTTAATTCTCTATGATATAAATACAAAACCGAAAGTATTGATAAAATGTTAATTGAAAATTCGTAGGGTATGATATGAAATGATTTAATAGGACGTAGGACACCTTCCCTACCTTGAAGTCCATCTGTGTAGGTGGGTGAGAGGGTTTGGCTATGTCTGCGGCCAACTAGCAGTGCTCGCACCTGGCTCGCACTGATGTGATCCGGTGTACAGGATGCAGAGAGCCAACATCAGGCACACCATCTCACTGCTCAGAGGTGACAACTTCTCTGTTGTGACAAGTTGGCTGCAGCGGCTGCTACCATTCACGTGGTCTGCGAGTTCGTTTGTGCCTTCACTTTTATAAAAGAAAACTCGCCAACACGCGCAGCACGGCGCGGCCAAACGCACTAATGAATGTGAGCCTATATAGCCTACAAAATTACTGTACCGCATCTGGACAAACACCATGTGCAATGTATGATGTAACACGCCTTCACGATGTAAGAGAAACTCCCAGTGCGGAGAACAAGTATTTGTTTAAAGTGGACTGACGTAGGTAAACGACAAATGGGCATAAAGCCTATCGATAAGAGCCCTGAGTCAGATGAAGCTGTAAAAGCTAAATTGCTTACAACCCTAACATCATAGAAAAAAAGAGACAAAGCCTACCCGATATTTAGCGGTCACTATACTTGTTGACACACGTTTATAATTCAGTAAAAAAACTGGCCAAGTGCGTAGCGAGCAACGCACAATGTAGAGGTAGGGTTCCGTATTAGTCCGTCACAATACGTGAGCTTTCTTGATATTGAGCATAATAAGTGAGTTTGCGGTTTGACCGCTATAACGACAAAAAATGGGCCCAAATAGGAAGATGGTAAGTGAATGACTTATTTTCAAATCAGACTTATAGGGAGGGAATGGTATTGAAAAAAGGCCAACAGAACTTTTCGATTTTGAAAATAATAGAATTTACATTAAATTATTCACATGTCAAATACATACAAAAATGGTCAACAATACTAAGATATTATGTACGACCATAAACCTCATTGCTTTCATCACTGCCCTAAATTATTATAAGTGTCACCCGCGTAAACCAAGAGTATGACGAATGAAATCGTATGAGGCTATATGATTGTATGAATACTTTGATTGAGGCCTGCAATAACTACCAACTAAGAAAAAAGCGTAAGTAGTAAATAAGTAAGTAAGTAAGATCCTCCCTGCCTATCCCGCAAATAAAAAGTAAAGCTATAGTAGTAATCCATACAAGTCGTTTTCTTCATAAAATGTTTGTTTCTTACAGTTATAATTTACAATAATATTACAAAGTTATATTGCAGCTACTTTTAGATATTTTTCTATGATGTTGTTGAAATTTTTACTTATTCAAGTGTTTTTATCAGTTGATCGGCTATCACATATTAACTTGGTACTTCTACTTATCTGTGATAGTGTGCTACTATTGAATATACTTTTCACATTTCCAAAACCAGAGGTTTAGTTGGTAGAGGGAGAGGACACATCACTATAATGAAAAATACGACTTTAAAGCTTAATATGGCTTTATATAAATATTATAACTTTATTAGTTATTAAAATTAAATCGAAAAAATGTTCTTCCATACTCCCAATGCTTTTGAAAGTCCTATCCATCGATATCCTGCACGATGGAAATGACGGGGGAAAAACATCCTCCTTACATGTATTGGAGTTTATAGGCGTGATTAATATCTATAACTATGCCAAATCACAGATATATAGCATCTAGGTTGTCCCGGACAAACGGGCAGTTATGGTGAAACTATAAGGGTTCTCTGTTTGTAACTACGGAACCCTAATATACACCAGCAACAAACACAAGCTAGTGATTTCAGGTTCTAACCCCTGGGAAGGAGGAGGTCGCTTCCAAGCTGTTTCTAAATAAGTTTTGTAAATTATAGTTTTTACAACCTTTATTACTTTAATTTACTTTTAAAAAAATAGCTAAAAATATTCCAAAAATCTACATCCGGAACATTATTTGTAGGCCATACTTGTTCTATACGGGATTCGAACTCTCGGTCTGCAAGTCATTGCTAAGCCACTGCGCTACGGAGTCGTCAAATTCAGAAAGATAGAATCGGTTAGTTAAAAGCCGTGAGGCGTGCAAACTTACGTAGTTCTCATGTGTGACAGCTGACAGCGCATCCATGGCCTTCTTTGTTCGAAGTCAGTGGCCGGTAACAAAAACCTGTAGTGGCCACTTACGTATAAGGTGGACTGTTAACTCGTTTGTTACTCATGTATTAAAAACAAAATCCTATCTTCCGCAAAACTCAACAAAGAACTATACCCTATACATAAAAGGGCTGACTCAACATGCATAAAACGAGTCCTTTAACTGTATTAGTACAAATTCCACATCATATTATAACATATGTAACATAATACATAATATTGTACCAGAGACGGAACTCAGTTGTTTTATAAATAACTGCGTATTAATGGACCGATGTCATACGGTTCTGGACACAATAAACTAAATGTGAATGCTATTTTTATATAACGCTATGAGTTAAACACAAAGAGAATAGATAAAATTTTAAAGACCAAAAAAATCACGGTAGTGACTTCTTAAGTTACCGTTTGCGACTCCATTGCGACTGCTGCTGTATAAACTATAAACATACCTAGTGGCCGAGATGAAACTGCTCGGTAAAGAAAATACAACTTAAAAATGAATGATAAGAAAAACAAAAAAGTTATGACTGACACCATCGGTTGCCTGCACACCCAAATAATATTTTTAATATCATTTTAAAATAAAACAAATTCAGTAGTCAAACAAATAATATCGTAATATCATCATTCTATCGAGTTAAAGTTTTACTGAAGCTCTAACACCCTATTTTATCATTTTAATTGGAAGAGTGATATACATTTGTGTTATTGTTATTTAAATTAAATTGTACCAAGTATAACCGCGGCCTCGGAGCGAGACCCCAGTGTTGACGAGCAGTTCAAAGAATTATGAATTAATTTGCTTTGTTTTAAAGCCACACAATACTCGTAGATATTTTTCTGTTGCCGTGTAATGGCAGCCTAAGAGAATTCGTTATCATATTTCGTTCCGTAAGTATTGTAAATGGCGACTATGTTAAAGGCCCGAAAGACATGGTAAAGCAGCTCGACTGGGGTAAAACCATGTTCTCACAGAAAACCAGCATAAAATAGCAGCTTAATGCTGCTGTGTTTCGTATGGTGAGTGTAGAGAACCAGAGTTACTGGAAACGAGGAATTCCATCTTAGATCTTAGGGTTACAACGCATCTGCATTTTGATTTTTAATCGAGAATAAATGTAGATATCTGTGGGCCACCGAATTCACTTACCATCCATTGGACTGTATGCTCGTTTGTAACCCTTAATCCATGAAAAAGACATGGGTGCCGGTAGTTGGCGGCTGCCATGCCACATCTCAAATACGCACAATAGTACAGGTACAGCATCAAAATCCAGTGCAGTAATCGCTAATCCACTGCCAGACGTGGCGATTATGGCAAATACTTCCTAATGGGAAGAGGTTCATGTCCATGGGCGTAGGACTGTGATGAGTAAAAAGGTCTGATCAAGAAGAGAGACTAATGACATGTCTGTTTAATGTGAACAAATACAAGCAGCCGGTCCAGGCTACTATACTGATTGTGAACTTCCCTTTCAATTATTATTATTTACAGCACCAGTGGACGTGATAACTTTTGTAATTAACTGTTTTAAATATTGTTTAGTTTATACGGAATAAATTATATATATATTGGATAAATTAGCAGAAAAATGTTCAATAAATTTTACTAATAGCGCAGCCCGGATTTTTGTTAAAGATTTCCGTTTTATAGAAAACAATAAAGATAACAACGTGATACCTACTAACGGGTGCGATCTGCGTCAGCAATTAATTTTGATAGAATGCTATCGGTCGCTTATCTGGTATCTTAAAACTTGACGGACCTACCACCAGCATGTGAAGGATTGTCCAACGTACTTCATAATAAAATATTTTACGTTATTTCATTAGGATTACGAAAAAGTTGATAGATACTTGCCTTCTCATCTACTCAGTGTAACGAGTCTGATCAAGCACTTCTCGTGGCAGAATGAAAAAAACAGTGTCCCTGAATTTTACAATGACTAGACTAAATACTTACTGTATTTTTTTTACTCTGACATTCAACACAGCAAAGATGTATTCTAATCAAGGTTTTTACAGGCGATAAATATTTCAAAAAAGGAAAAATTATAGTTTACTTTTATATGCTGTACTCTTTCTAAGCTAAACAAAGTTTTGTTTAAGAACGAAACCCTAAGCATACTTCTCAAGCTGCACCGCGATTAAATTTGTGCCGTGTTGAGACAAATAGGAGCTGCTGTAGTACAATGGTAACGCACATATACAAATATAGTCATGATCACACACGATATGTTACACCAAACCATCATACATTTAAATTTACAGTTTGCACCTTCCGCTGGTGGACCAGTATCGAGTTGAACGAGGCGATTTCAGCGCGAGACGTAGACATACCGAGATAATGGGGCGGTCAGTGCCCTCGCAGGGCCGGCTGGTGTGCGGCTTGAGGGGCACCCTGTTGAAGTGTTGGTCACTGCACGACTGCACCACTGGGCTCCGCACGCGCGCACTGCTCACTCGCGTCGACCGCTACGGACACGTGCACACAGAAACACACGCGGCCGTCGACTACAGTTATCAGGTATCAGTCAGCTACGGCGGCGCGGCGGCGGCAACCAGCGAGTCGGCGCGGCGGTCGTGCGCGGACTAGGTTTGGGTGCATAATTTTGAAATATCGATATTTTGATTTTTTTAAATATATTTAATAAATATTTATATCGCCATTTATTTAATCTGGATGTATGGATATTTGATATTTATTTTGGAGTATCAAATTAGTATCAATTTCGATTAATTTTAAAATGTTGTTTTGAACGACAAAACTAGCTACGAAAGCATACATGTGCTGTTGTCGTTTTTTTGTCGTCCAACCGTCCAGTAATACCATTTTGGGCCTTGTCGTAGGTACTACATCACGCAAAATATAACGATATATCGATATTTATCACGCGATAACCTTTTTTACCGCCTGGAAAAAATAGAGTGTAACAAGTGAACGAAGTAGAAGCCTATGTAAATTGATGTATTACAAAAAAATAAAAACAAAAATTTTAAATTAAATAAGTATTTCAATTAAATCTATCGCAACTCAAATCATACCCACCCTAGTTTTACGAGCGGCAATAAAACAATAATTTCTTTGTTAATGTCCTTTCGCTGGGTAGCAGGCTCAAATGCAAAGCCGCCCCGCGCCCTCAACTCTCATTTCACTTACCCCTAGTTAGCTGTGGCGTGACGTCGCGTCACCGTCGTATTGTTTATGTTTCCGCGTGTGTGAAAACTTAGACGGTACGACGAATCAATATTTACCCGTGTTGGAATTTATGGATTGAATGTCGATTAACGGGAGTAACGTATCTGCAAATGATACGTTCCATCATCGACACAATATTGCAAAACGTTCCTCTGAGCCATCTGAAAGGAATGTACTTCCAGCATGATGAATGTCCAGCTCATTATGAAGTACGAACATTCTGTGCGCGCATATCTGGACAGCCAATTCGGTGAGGTGGATAGATCGCGGTTGACCTGTGAACTGACTGGCGAGATCATCAGACCTGACACCTCTAGACTTATTTGTGGGCCGAACTGAAACGATTACTGTACACAGAAGAAGCATAAAGTATTAGTGATTTAAAGCAGCATATAATAAACGCATTTCATGTGATAAAAAGTGATAGAGACACGCTACGTGGTTGGGCGGCGGGCCTAAGGGTTCCCGAGTTCGATTCCCAGGTTGAGCCTTTGACCCTATTATGCGAGATGTTATACTAAGTGGACTGTATACGCGATGGCTTCTTATGCCTCAACAAGATGGCGGATGTAACACGCGGCACCTTAGACAATGCACTCGCTCTTCCAAATCTATTGCTTGCCAAGGTTAGGAGGGGATTCTACTTGAGCACATTAGGAGAAATAAAATGGGGTGGGTTAACTAATAAACAAAATGCTCAAGTAGGAACAAAATTACGGGAAAACACTTACCGGGGATGATTCTGGTGCGGCGGACGACGCTTCCGTTGCGGTGATGCGACGTGAGGTGGGTTCTTCTGGGGCGCCCCAGAGATGCGATCCAGGCCAGTGGTGCGAAGGAAGAGAGCGGTGCGCGACGATATCTCACACTATGTGAGGCGGTTACTTCGCTTCGAATGCGGACTAGCGGCGCGTAGCAAGAGGACGCTCGAGGGCAGCGCGCGAGCCTTTATTGCCTCGGCTTTCCCACCAAGCACCTCGGTCGGGCGCGCTTCTCATTGGTCGAAAGAACCGCGTCACCTTCTAGACTCCTCCCTTCCCCCTTTCAGTGTTTACGGAAGGGATTTTAGGTCAAAGGATGGGTAAACGCTTGGCAATAAACCTTTGAATAAAATTAAAATACACGAATCGTTTCCGCGTAACCACTACGAATTTACAAAGACGTGCTAGTTTGTCTTTATAATTTTTTTGAACAATTACTACAATATCGTTAAAAAAAGTAATTTTTATTTGTAAATAACAATAATGTAGTATAACTTTGTAAATATCAATCAGTGTAGTTCGTAAATAACTTGATTTCGATCTTCGACACGCGACGGCATCATTATTAACGAAAGAGCGGCAATGAGAAGAGCTGCTTTTTTTAAATCGTTGTCTTTTATGGAACAAGTATTTTACGAATCACCAGTATATGCTGATCTTGCATTCGTAGGCAGTTACCAGTACTGGGAGGTCTACTTATAATGAAAGATTAAGCTCATGGCATTGTAAGCGAACGCCGTAGGAGGAATTACTTTTGTGTATTTTTTTGTATATTGTGAAATTATACCTATTTAGTTATATTTTACAAATACTTTCGGGATGGCTTCTATTCTACTTACACAAAACACATATGATTTTCCAGGCGATAAATATAGTCATCCAGTATATCGATACCGCTTAAACTTACACTTGCACAGTCGCGGCGACTTTCGGGTTATTCAATGTTCTTTGTTGCTAGGGTTGCCAGACGTCCTTTATTTTAAAGTAGATCCAATATTTCAGAGTTTCAGTACTCGATATTCCCTCTGCTTGTTGAGGACAAAGAATTTAAAAATCACTGAGGTGACGAGCGATGTTAGAAAGACAAACTACGTTGCACTGCGTATTTTTAACAAGTTTTAATTATAATGCAACACCATAACAACATTTTATTAAAAACAGTACGATATCCTTTATTTTCACCAGTATTTCCTATATTCCTACAATCTTATCATATCCCCTTAAATATGAAACGGAAGCTGGCAACCTTATCTGTGGCGGGGACTGACCAGCCACGGCGCGGCGGAGCGATGGAGGCTGTAGAGACTAGAGACGCGCGACGGGAAGTTGGACTCATCACAAACACAATTGCTAGACATCTCAAGCAAGACTTTGAAGCTTTCAAGCCCGTGATCTGCGACTAGAGATGCAGGATTTGACCTGACATGTCAACACTTGTGGGCTCTTGCCAGGATTTTGGACTTTTTTCTTTATTTTATAGAGTAAGGATGACAAACGAGCATACAGTCCACCCGATGGTAAGTGGATGCTGTGGCTCACATCCTCTAAGGACTTAGGATGCCTCGTATCCAGTAAAAAGGGTCTTCGTTTCTCTACACTTATCATAAGAAACAGCAGCGTTAAACTGCTGTTTCACGCAATTTTTTCTTTATTTTATTCATTAAAAAAAGAGATAAGACTTTAAAAAATTAAAATTTTGAGGCAATAATTCATTTGATGTATGCTTAGAAAAAGCTTTATCCCGCAATATATTCTAAAGCCTGATAAGAAAAATAGGACACTGAACTGACTTAATCTAGATGAACAATGGCCTTTCCCCAGTTCAGATCTGAAGACAAAAGTTGATGAACAATTTAATGAAGAGAACGTGAGGTTAACGTTAAAGTTTGTAAACGTTCAAAGTTTGAACCAATATTATTTCCTCCAGGCTGAGTTTCGGTCACGGCTACCGTAGTCTCAACGGAGGCTAACCATCTGCGCAAGACGGCATCATTGTGCCCGAACCGATTGTTGTGCAGTCACTATTCCCTCACTCTCATAATGCGATGTTACGGTTTCGGGCACAACCGGAGAGATCAGGCGCGGGACGCACTGCTGCGTGTGCTTTCGGCGCGGTGGGTGACACACCAGCAACTCCCTGACTCTGGGCTACTACTGAGAATTCATAACAGAAAAACCCTATACCTAACTTTGCTTGACCCGGGATTTGAACCCAGGACCTCATGATTAGCAATTGCGTTTACGAGCGAACTTTGACATACGTTAAATTTTAAAATGTAGTTTGTGTTATCTTTTGCTATAGGTATGCTTATATATTGGTATGTATAATGTATTATATAAATATACATACCTACCAATTTATTTATTCAAGAAAAATAAAATAATTATCAAAGAAAAGATTTAGGAAATTCAAAAGATGGAATAAAAATAATTTATTCATCATTCATCTTCGTTACCATTGCAGGCCATCACAAGGCACTGCTGAACATAGGCCTCGTCCAAGGAATGTCATAAAGCAAGGTCCTGAGGCACCTGCATCCAGTGATGGGTCGCCGGTCACTTAACGCGATAAAAACTCTACTATCTCTCAAGTTCCACCAAACTGCACATAGTGGGCAAAATTTCATTTAAATCAGTTCAGTAGTGCAGGAGTTCATTGTGGACAAACAGTGTGACACTGTATATTTGCATATAATGATAAATCAGTGCACTATTTACAATGTTTTTACAACAAATTTACGTTACAAATAATAAAAAACCGACCAAGAGCGTGTCGGGCCACGCTCAGTGTAGGGTTCCGTAGTTTCCCGTTCGTCACAATAAGTGTTCCCACTTATGAGCTTAAAAGTGGGTATCCATTATGTTCGCGCTCCAGCAGCGCTCCGCGCTCCTGCAACTGCTCCCGGTAGTGGGTACTCTTGTTTCCATCCAAGTTCAAAATGATTTTCCTAGAAAGTCCTTATAAAGTTCTACTTTTCAGATTTTTTTCATATTTTCTAAACTTATGGTTCAAAAGTTAGAGGGGGGGGGGACACATTGTTTTTTACTTTTGGAGCGATTATTTCCGAAATTATTGACATTATCAAAAAATGATTTTAGTAAACCCCCATTCATTTTTAAATACCTTTCCAACAATATATCACACTTTAGGGTTGAAATTAAAAAAAAAATCACTTCCCACTTTACATATAGGGGGCTACCCTAATAAAACATTTTTTCCAATTTTTATTTTACCACTTTGTCGGCGTGATTGATACACATATTGGTACCAAATTTCAGTTTTCTAGTGCTAACGGTAACAGAGATTAAGCGAGGACGGACAGACGGACAGACAGACATGGCGAAACTATAATGGTTCCTAGTTGACTACGGAACCCTAAAAATACCTTTAATTAAAAACTTTACTACCATTTATAAGTGTTAAGGGGATTGTGAAGCCGTAAATTTTCATACAAAAGGCGATAACGTTTTCCCTCTCGTAATACATACAACATAGTCTAATTTTCATATTTTTTGTTGTGTTGTAATTTTCATGTTTAATGTTGTAGATATAATGGAAAACTAGGTCCGTAGGTACGTTTTTATTTTAAAGAAATATTGCGTACGATGTGTAGCGGCGCTGTCGTCGCGCCACAAGCGAAATACACCGAAGTTTAAATCACGCTATCAACATTCCAAATCATAGACAGTATATATAGAACTTCTCCGAACTATCACTCGGAGTGTCGGCCGCTCCCCGGGCAGAACACCTTGCCCGGCGGGAGATCTCCCCTTTTTCTTCCACGGCCACAGTGGTGACCCTGACGTGATATGAACACGTAACCAACAACCTTCGGAAACTTCAAGCTTCATCATCGTCATAAAATACTCCACCCATTCGCTCTCGAGCAGATATCGTCTGCAGTCTTCATATCCTGCAAGCCAGCTAGCTTCACAAGGTTCATCGCAGCACTGGAATAATAATGCTTCCTTTTCCTTCAAGCTACTCTCTGCGCTACAGTGTTCGGCACGGCTCTGAGCCTCACTGCTCGCCTCTGCTTCACGGCACTCTCGCAGATCACTTGCCTTCTTCTCGACTCACCGCAGACTACAAGGCAATCTCCTGGCACTTGCACATTCGTCGGCAACGAGGCTGCACTATCGACCTCCGGTCTGAGCAGGGGGTGATGTAGCGGCGCTGTCGTCGCGCCACAAGCGAAATACACCGAAGCTTAAATCACGCTATCAACATTCCGAATCATAGATAGTATATATAGAACTTCTCCGAACTATCACTCGGAGTGTCGGCCGCTCCCCGGGCAGAACACCTTGCCCGGCGGGAGATCTCCCCTTTTTCTTCCACGGTCACAGATTTAAGTAATTAGCATCTAAATAAGTATCTATATTTCTTACTTAAAAACTTCCTCTAGCGTTTTTATTTTTTTTTTATTTAAACTAAACTGAATTACTAAAAAAGAAGAACGTAAAGATCTAAATTAAGGTATACTGAATCTATTGAGAGAAAATGGTCTCATTTCGTTAAGGTATACAGGGGTGAAAAATGGGTGAAAACGTTATCGCTCGAAACAATATTTTAAAATGAAAATGTAGGCAATTACTTCCAACATTTGCATCTCTCTCTATCGCACGACGGCGGTACGACGACGGCGGCTAGCGATATGAAACGGATAGCGTTTTTGAAAATACCTACTCGCGCCGCGTATCGGCACGTCACAATTCTCTTTTATAAAAATAATTATTAAAAAAAACTTATCTTACTTTTTACACTGCCCAATAAATAACGAACTTTATTCATAAAGCCAAGTCAATATCGTTACTTTAATACGTTTTATCATGTTGTCTCTGGACACTATAAATAATCGTGGACGTGGTCCATAACCATAACACATGGAATAAATTAATCAGGAACGGTGTTTTGTCTAGATCAGAGAGAGAGAGAGAGAGAGAGAGAGACGCACCGTTTTTAATTTTTATTTCTAAAATAGTATATTTTTGTGGCTCAAACTTATTGATTGTCGGTCGAATAGTATAAGTCAAAAAATGTATAAAGTAGATTCGTTATTCATTAACTTTATTTCTTAAGTTTTATATACATTGTAATTAGTACTGTGGATCTCGTAATAAATAAATAAATGAATAAATTACTTATCTACTTATATTTTATTCACTAATTCTCTAATAAACAATATACAAACTCTATGTTTTTGTTATAAAATGTATCAGTTTGTCTTTAAGCTTATTTGAATTCAGTATTCTGCCATGATGAATGTGGAATTGATTTATAAATGTAATATTGTTTAAATAATAAAACAAATTTAATTGTGGTATGGTTGCAAGATGGAAGTTTAGAAGCATATAAGGATATAAACGTTATAAAGTGGTAAATCCCACAATAGAATTTCCTCCTGTTTCGTGAAGGTGTTATATACATACATAATTTTCTCTTGGACAAACAAACATCCAGAACCAGAACAATTATTCGTAGATCTCTCATACACTTGTTCCGTGCGGGATCGTACCCGTGACCAAGCAGCATTGCAAACAAACGCTTAGCCATTGCACCATCGAGCCGTCTCACTTTTAGTATCCGACTCATGGCGGGAAAATGTATATTGTTTAAACTAACAAACCATGTTGCGAAATATTTGGTACTTACAATTCACAACGTAAAGTAAAATTATTTATACTGTAAAACTACGATCATGAAGAAGTATGTTAGGGTTGACTCTGATTTTATCAATCCCCTACCGGTTGAGAAATTATGTTAATACTCTATGAATGTAGGTGTATTAATTTATATGTGTTATTATGATAACACATATAAATTAATACACCTACACACACAAGTGCCAACACTCGCGCATACATCTGTTAACCCTTTGAAGTGCTTTGAAGTAAATGGGACACCGGTATCACTAAATTTTAACTTACATTTTTACTGATATAGTCAATAATTACAAAAAAAACAGTAGTCCTCATCAACTGTTTTTGAACGAAACTTTAAATTTTTAAGGTTGGTAGCGTAAAAAAAAACAAATATCTCCTTATTACTTTTGGATGTTTTGGCGCGCTTCGTAAATAAGTTTCAATGGTTTTTGCTGTTTTGATAGTGCTGTGTATCTTTGTGTTTGATTGTGTTAGAATGGTAAGCAATCATTATGAATTTATTATCATTTATTGTAATGTTACCTACATACAAGATATATTACTTAACTTAAACTTCTATAAAAGCTTCTAACATTCCGAATATTATATTTTATGTTCTATATTCAGTAATTATAGTAAATTTATACAATTCTTTATTGTTTTAGGCTCGGAGGGATACTAGAATATTTCATTTGAATGAAAACGAAGTAGAGGAGTATCTCACGGCTTATAATAGTGAATATGAACGGTGAAGATGCACTAATCTTGGATAAAGAAGACTAGGTATTAATTCTCCAGGATATGGAAGCTGGAGTATCTGAAGTTAAAATTGAGCTCGCAGGTGCATCAGATTCCACCCCAGATCCAGATCCAACTTCTGGCCCTTCATCATCTCCTGATTCACCATTGAGTGGTGCAGTACCGGACTTCAAGAGGAAGAGGAACACTTATCGGCCTTACCTATTTTTTGAGACTGATTATGACTTTGGTAAGGTAAACATACTGCAACATTCAGAATCTCTGAAACCCATATATATTTTTGAGCCAACTACGAATATCAAGGTATTGATTGTAGAAATTATTAGAGATGGGCCGAATATTCGTTTCATATTCGGTATTCGGCATATTCGGCAGCTTTACCGAACATTCGTTAAAGAGGTATTTAAAGTGTCCAAGTTCATTTGTTCGCGAGATATTCAAATTTTGAAAAAAAAAGAAAGAAAAACGTGGATCTCCATAACTATGACGTTGACGTCATAATAAGTGGAATTTGGAGCGCGGAGTGGAAATAGCGGGAAGTTCCAGGGATGGCCTGCAGGGTGAACCAATTTTTTTATTTCAATAGCCTCGCGAATCATCTTGATAGTAGATTTTTTTACGCGATAATTTGTGGTATATCAAATGACAGCATAATGCAGTTTACAACAGACTTTCCTGGAGCATTGGTGTTTCACTCTATGTATATTGTATACTCGTACTGCCTCGTTGGTCTAGTGGTTGTAGTAGTGCGACTGCTGATCATGAGGTCCTGGGTTAAAATCCCGGGTCGGGCCAATAAATTAATTATTGAGTTTTTCCGTCAAGAAATTCTCAGTAGTTGCCCCGGAGTCAGGAAGTTAGCGGTGTCTCACGTTTACGTACTTTCCGAGGCACGGGGGGCCTCGGAAAGTACGTAAAGCCGTTGGTCCCGCGCCTGATCTCTCTCCGGTCGTGTCGGTTTACCGTCCCATCGGATTATGAGAGTGAGGGAATAGGGAAAGGGGAGAGAGTGCACCTGTGCTTGCGCATACACTTGGGCACTATAATCCTGTCCTGTGCCGATGGCTAGCCTCCGTCCGTTGAGGCTGGCCGCCGAAATTCGGTCTGGAGGACATTATTATTATTATTGTATACTCGTATACATGTTCTTTCACGCGGGTTTTTTAGATCTTTTTGTTTGCCTTCTATAAGAGAGGCCACATTTACCATCAAGCTTGTACATTCCTAAATTTTATAGAGGGATATAACACTTGCCTTTATATCACACAGTATAATTTAAATCATTCTACAGTGGCATGAAATGTAAATGGCATTTCAGGAATCTCAGCGCGCTCTCCCTTTATATTAGTAGTAAAGTCGGACAAGGGACACAATAACTGGCTGCTAAGCGGTTATTCATGCGATTGGGCAAAAGATGTCTTACGCTAATATTACCTTTTTCAGTGGTTCATTAATTTTTTTTTGCCATTGGTCAAAATGTATCAGTTGTGACGCTAACATTTCTACAAGACCGCGGGGGTCGTCACCCCCTGAGATGAAGTCTAGACGAAGTCTGCGTCTGGGTCCGACGACTGTAGCGTATATAGCAACGAATATAAATAAGCGCCTTCTGTGACGGTTTTAATAAGTTTTTTTTACTTTGATGTTGTTAATTATACGAATTATGAGTTTCAAATCCTTCTTCTTTTTAGGGCTGCTATTGTCATCGAGCCACAACATTATAACAATAAACAGCGCAGATCTTACAATACTCCCTAAGTCATAAATAACTCCTGTTCTGTTGGAGCAACATGTTTTAAACTCGGCATATGACAGTCACCAATCAGTCACTCACACTTGCAATCGTTGACTGCAGGTAATGCTACAAAGCAACATTGCGAGTCTTGTTTTTTTATAAACTGAGGTTGACAAACGAGCGCAGACCATTTGACGGTAAGTGGTTGTAGTTGCGCGTAGACATCTACATCTGTCCTTGATTAAGATTCTCCGGTTATCTACATTCACAGAGAAACACAGAGGCAATGAAGCTGCTAATTCATGCAGGTATTTAGTGAACCATAATATGACTCTACCACGTAAAAGCGTAAACGTGTTAGTTAAATAGTTGTAACTATACCGTTAACGTTTAATTATTTAGTTAGATTTAGATACACCATCGACAATATCAATAAACATTGTTACAATCAAAATACTACATTTTTAGATAAAGTATATGTCTTTAAACTCTAAAACAAAAAGAAACTATAAAAAACTTTACAGCCTATTCAAGTCCACCACAGAACACAGGCCTCCCCTCGGAGTGCCTCAAGGGGGGACATTCGCCGTAGCTGTCACGCTTGGCAACCGGTTTTACAAGCACAGGTTTTTATTTTCCAGATTTGTTTCATTCCGTCGCCTCTTACGACACCCACGGGAAATATAGGGTATATATAATGTAGGATATTCTTATACCGTCACTCATTACAATAAAATATAGGGTATATATAATGTAGGATATTCTTACACCGTCACTCATTACAATAAAATATAGGGTATATATAATGTAGGATATTCTTACACCGTCACTCATTACAATAAAATATAGGGTATATATAATGTAGGATATTCTTACACCGTCACTCATTACAATAAAATATAGGGTATATATAATGCAGGATATTCTTACACCGTCACTCATTACAATAAAATGCAGGGTATATATAATGTAGGATATTCTTACACCGTCACTCATTACAATAAAATACAGGGTATATATAATGTAGGATATTGTTACACCGTCACTCATTACAATAAAAAAGTGAATAAATAAATAAAGCAAAGTGAGGAAACTTAATCTTGTGAACTGTAAGATAATTTATTTTTGATAAATTTGTTCGAACATCGTCCAATTAAGTTTAAATTAGTTTAATTTTGTATTCTTTGCCATATTGTCTTTGGAACAACGTACCACACATCCGTTAGTTAGTGCGCTACATTTGTTTTTGTGGAATTGTTTAAGATTTTTCGACTTCTTGATCGCCCACAGAGCGGGTCATCAGTGAAGATAAAGTTAATAACGGCACGCTCAATGTCCAATGACTGAAAGAGGGCACGCAGCGCTAATTCTGCTTATATATGATAGCCTTCGAAATCTAAAAAACATCAACTACAACATCTAATAAACATAACAACTCAGGTATTTTTTAAAATACTAAATTTATTTTCGGATAACGGTAATTTTACTTAATTATTTCAATTATTTCAGTGTTTTTACATGTATGTGTGTTGTACATTAGAAAAAATATAGATACATCGGTATTTTTTGCGCTATATTATTGGTTTTTTTTGCGATATACGAAACCATAGATCTAATATACCTACACACAAAGCTCTAGTGCAATCGGTAATGAGTTATTGCATACCTGTTTGGGGTGGTGCAGCAAAAACACATCCAATAGGACAAAAAGAGCTCAAAGAGCTCTAATTAAGGTGATGTTGAAATGATGAAACCGTTTCGATTTTCAACTTTTGAACTACATAAGTCTTACAAATTGCTTACTACTCGCCAGATGTATATATTAAATTGCATTTTAGAAAAGCATCGACATTTACCTTTTATACCTCATCAGACACCAAAACGTAGAAGTACCAAAATTTGCAATATACCACAAAATAAAACAAAGTTTAAGCAAAAGCAATACGTATTCCAATCTATATCTATTTACAACAAATTTAACAGCAGATTGAATATTTACCCCTTGACGTGGACTGAAGTTAAACGTGTAGTGACACAAATTTTATTAACATTAAATTACGAGGAAACTGAACAATTTATTACATAACTTTTATACTTCGAACAGCCACACCAATTGTTAAAGCACTACCACACAACCACAAAAAAAAACACACACACACACACAAACGCGTGCATGCTTTGCATGCATGCTTATCATGTAATTATTATTATATTCCAAATTTCATTTACTTCCTAATGCTATTGATTAACATTGTATTGTCTTGGTGAGCGGTGTACCTAGTAATACAGGTTCCCAACCTAGTACAGGGGCCCTTGCGACTGGTTTAAAATGTATCATTGTAAATCAATAAATCATTTTTCATTTTCATTTTTCAAATATAAACTCTAACGAAACCGATATCAATATTTTCCTAAAATATCTATACAAAATATATCGATACGTCATTCAGGAAACGTGGGTTGTAACTTTAAACAAAGAAGGCTACAGATGTGTTGTTGATGTGTCTGAGGACTAAGATATAATACCTCTCCGCCAGTAATGTGTCTGAGGACTAAGATATAACACCTCTCCGTCTGTAATGTGTCTGAGGACTAAGATATAACATCTCTCCGCCTGTAATGTGTCTGAGGACTAAGATATAACACCGCTTCGTCTGTAATGTGCCTGAGGACTAAGATATAACACCTCTCCACCTGTAATGTGTCTGAGGACTAAGATATAACACATCTCCGCCTGTAATGTGTCTGAGGACTAAAATATAACACCTCTCCACCTGTAATGTGTCTGAGGACTAAGATATAACACCTCTCCGCCTGTAATGTGTCTGAGGACTAAGATATAACACCTCTCCACCTGTAATGTTTCTGAGGACTAAGATATAACACCTCTCCGCCTGTAATGTGTCTGAGGACTAAGATATAACACATCTCCGCTTGTAATGTGTCTGAGGACTAAGATATAACACCTCTCCACCTGTAATGTGTCTGAGGACTAAGATATAACACCTCTCCTCCTGTAATGTTTCTGAGGACTAAGATATAACACCTCTCCGCCTGTAATGTGTCTGAGGACTAAGATATAACACCTCTCCGCCTGTAATGTGTCTGAAGACTAAGATATAACACCTCTCCGCCTGTAATGTGTCTGAGGACTAAGATATAACACCTCTCCGCCTGTAATGTGTCAGAGGACTAAGATATAACACCTCTCCGCCTGTAATGTGTCTGAGGGCTAAGATATAACACCTCTCCGCCTGTAATGTGTCTGAGGACTAGGATATAATACCTCTTCGTCTGTAAGGTGTCTGAGGACTAAGATATAACACCTCTCCGCCTGTAATGTGTCTGAGGACTAAGATATAACACCTCTCCGCCTGTAATGTTTCTGAGGACTAAGATATAACACCTCTCCGCCTGTAATGTGTCTGAGGACTAAGATATAACACCTCTCCGCCTGTAATGTGTCTGAAGACTAAGATATAACGCCTCTCCGCCTGTAATGTGTCTGAGGACTAAGATATAACACCTCTCCGCCTGCAATGTGTCTGAGGACTAAGATATAACACCTCTCCGCATGTAATGCGTCTGAGGACTAAGATATAACACATCTCCGCCTGTAATGTGTCTGAGGACTAAGATATAACACCTCTCCGCCTGTAATGTTTCAGAGGACTAAGATATAACACCTCTCCGCCTGTAATGTGTCTGAGGACTAAGATATAACACATCTCCGCTTGTAATGTATCTGAGGACTAAGATATAACACCTCTCCACCTGTAATGTGTCTGAGGACTAAGATATAACACCTCTCCTCCTGTAATGTTTCTGAGGACTAAGATATAACACCTCTCCGCCTGTAATGTGTCTGAGGACTAAGATATAACACCTCTCCGCCTGTAATGTGTCTGAAGACTAAGATATAACACCTCTCCGCCCGTAATGTGTCTGAGGACTAAGATATAACACCTCTTCGTCTGTAATGTGTCTGAAGACTAAGATATAACACCTCTCCGCCTGTAATGTGTCTGAGGGCTAAGATATAACACCTCTCCGCCCGTAATGTGTCTGAGGACTAGGATATAACACCTCTCCGTCTGTAAGGTGTCTGAGGACTAAGATATATCACCTCTCCGCCTGTAATGTGTCTGAGGACTAAGATATAACACCTCTCCGCCTGTAATGTGTCTGAGGACTAAGATATAACACCTCTCCGCCTGTAATGTGTCTGAAGACTAAGATATAACGCCTCTCTGCCTGTAATGTGTCTGAGGACTAAGATATAACACCTCTCCGCCTGCAATGTGTCTGAGGACTAAGATATAACACCTCTCCGCCTGTAATGCGTCTGAGGACTAAGATATAACACATCTCCGCCTGTAATGTGTCTGAGGACTAAGATATAACACCTCTCCGCCTGTAATGTGTCTGAGGACTAAGATATAACACCTCTCCGCCTGTAATGTTTCTGAGGACTAAGATATAACACCTCTCCGCCTGTAATGTGTCTGAGGACTAAGATATAACACCTCTCCGCCTGTAATGTTTCTGAGTACTAAGATATAACACCTCTCCGCCTGTAATGTGTCTGAGGACTAAGATATAACACCTCTCCGCCTGTAATGTTTCTGAAGACTAAGATATAACACCTCTCCGTCTGTAGTGTGTCTGAGGACTAAGATATAACACCTCTCCGCCTGTAATGAGTCTGAGGACTAAGATATAACACCTCTCCACCTGTAATGCGTCTGAGGACTAAAATATAACACTGTAACTATACTGGCTGTCTATACCCTTCAGCAGTGCCTTATTTAGAGTTCCTACAGCCCTAGGCCTAGGTTTACTATGAATGTGCGCCTAGGTATACCCATCAATAGGTACACAGTTGGAGTATGCCCCGTTCGCTATGTCCAAAAAAACAACCAAGGCCTCTCTATTGAGCTTGCTCTACTGCTTCCGCTCATCTATGACTCACGTAAGTTAGAAGATTAG